CCCCCCCCCCCCCCCCCCCCTTCTTAAAATCTCGGAGGTCACCTCAACCGTGTAATTCCTGTGATGGTGTTTTGGTGTTTTGAAGGCGCCTGTTTTTTACGGCACCAGACGAACGGAGCTGTGCGTGTCGTGTGAATCCCACAAATCCACAACCAGCTTCTCTGATTAAAAGGTTCCTGGGGGAGGTGGGGGGGTGGCTGGAGCCATGACGTCACACCCCCCCCCCCCCCCCCCCCTTCTTAAAATCTCGGAGGTCACCTCAACCGTGTAATTCCTGTGATGGTGTTTTGGTGTTTTGAAGGCGCCTGTTTTTTACGGCACCAGACGAACGGAGCTGTGCGTGTCGTGTGAATCCCACAAATCCACAACCAGCTTCTCTGATTAAAAGGTTCCTGGGGGAGGTGGGGGGGTGGCTGGAGCCATGACATCACACCCCCCCCCCCCACCCACTGGTGACTTTAAAATGCTTCAGGAGCTCAGGTCCGAATGTTTATGTCAAAAATTTTGAAAATATGCCAGACATAAATTATGTTTCATAATATTAAATGAAAGAGTGTATGCATGTGCATGTGTCGTGCATGTGTGTGAATGTGTGTATCTTTCAGCACATACATGCACGGTACATGTTATATCCGTATACAGTTGTTTCTGTTTACATTGCACTGCATTGTCTGTGTATTTTTTGTGCTGATCGTGATTTATTGTGTTACTGCACACGCACCTTAATTTACACTTTCACCTTAATCTGTATTTCTGATCTGTGTTTTGTGTTAATTTGTGTTTAGTAGAAGGACATGCACAGTCATATTTTCATTGCATGTGTGTGTCTGTGTAGGATCTGTGTAACATACTTAACCTTTCTTGCTGTCCCCGGCTCCCCTTGCAGATGCTCTCTCAATCTATCGAGCAGCTCCGGCAGCCCAGTGACAACCTACAGGAAGAGGAGGAGGAGAGAGAGCAGTGCGTGCTGCCCCCTGGTGGAGTCATCCGGAAGTACAGCCACGGCGGCAGCACCTGCAGCTCAGACGGAGAGCCGCTGGATGCTCATGCGGGGGTCATCAGGGTGAAGGAGGAGCCTCCTGACAGCGAGGATGAGGGCCAAGCGCAGGGGGCGGGGCTGGGGGAGAGGGATGCCCGTCTACAGCAGGTGGGGGGCGGCGAAGCTCCTCAGAGAGTCATCATACGAGCCATTATGTAGAAAAGGAGATGGAGGGAGAGAGGAAGGGGGCAGACACCAGCTTTATGCTGAGTGCCCTGATTTTTTCAAGCTTTTGGAAAAAAAACAAAAAACAGATGAAAAAAGAAACAACAGTGACATTGTTAGTAAATGTCTCCTCCGGCCTCCTCGCCCCGGTGTCTGCGGCACCTCCTCGCACTAACCGGGTTGGGCCCTCAGATCGGGAATGCCCGCGAGAAGCTCGTGGACGACGGCCAACAACCCGACCCCCCAGCCTGCCAGCGCCTGCACGCCCCCTTGAGGCCGCCGAGTGTTCAGCACCCACCTCTGACTCCTCACCGGCTACCCGGCAGTTTCGTGCTCAGCGACCATCGCCTCGTGTTCAGGGGGCAGTACCTGACATTCCACAGAAGTGTATCGCGGTTACTTACACGACGAGTTACACCTTTAACCAAAGTGACTTACACAGCTTGCGGCTTTTCCTTTTTTATTCTTTTTACCTTTGCCTGGTCCATCTCGCCTGGTTAGACAGAGTCTCTCCCTCCCACTCTGTGCTCTCCAGTCCGGATCCTTTTGCCCATTATGTAAATTCAACCCTGGCAGGAGCCAAAGGCCATTTTCAGCCCTTTTTTTTTTTTTTTTTTTTTTGTAAAGCCCATGACTCGCTGGCGGCTGTGATTATTCTGGACTCGGTCCCGCCTCCGTCCTCTGAGGAGTGATTTAACGCTGGGATCTTTGAGATCGTTGAACTGAAGGGGGCGTCTGGGAGCTTACCCCGCACGAACCCCGGCTATCTCGGCGGATACGTGCTTCCAGGGCCGGCCGGCGAGACGAAAACCAATCTCAAGGCGAAGACGAGCACCGGCACCTGGGCCTCGCACCCCCCCCCTTCTTGTTTCCCCCTCCTGGGTTCCAAACCCAGGCGCCTGTCAGGCGTCTCGCTCCCCCGTCGGCTGAGGAGTCATCGGGACCGGCCCCGGGACAGGAAATGCTGTGAGGAGTGAGGAGTCACAGTGAGGAGTCACCGTGATTCATGCAGAAAAGCGAGAGAGGGGGACCTCACGGAGTCGCCGGGCCCCCAGCCTCAGAACTGATTCACTGTCGAAGCCCCCAGCCTGGCATTTCCTCTCCGACCTGGCTGCCGTTTCTCTGGGGGACAAGGCCAGCGTTCTTCGCGTTCCGTAGAGCCTTTTGTGTCCACGTTTAATTTTGCCTGATATCTGTGAAGCATCGCAGGTTTGGGGAAAAGGCTCCCATGGACGCATCCCAGAGAGACTGATCATTTTAGGTGCGAGGGGGCGGAGGAGACCCCCCCCGCGGAGCCGCTTGGTACGCACCGAAGTGTCTGATCCACACCGGGCTGCACTTCTGCCTGCAGTGCTTGCCCAGTCACAGCCCGGCTCCATGTAGATGTTAGAAGCTGATCCAGTACCAGCGGTGCTTTGCTGATGCCCCCCCTGTTCCTGATGTTGTCGTCCTTGTTGGGATTCACACCTCTGTGTTTGTGACCTTTCCTCTACCTTTGGTTATGGTCCTTTTTTCTAAATAAAATACATTTCCTGTCTATGTTTTAATCCTCGAAGGTTGTCTTGGTCACTGGGTGCTTCAGGTGTGTGTTCGAGCGCGAGTGTGTTTTTTGAAACTCTGAAACGACGCAAACACGCTGTTTTTAAATAAAACCGTCTTTGACTTGTGTTTCGCTTTAAACAACAGAACACGGCTCTCCTGCTAGAGCCAGACCTGAGTCACGTCATTTCAGTCTGTTAAGCGAGAGGTAGACGATGGCCGCCTGCCCGTCTGGCGTTAAAATCACACGTGTGCTGATACACGCCAACAAGGTGTCTGTGCTACATAACTTTGGAAAAACTAGCTGTGACGCCAGACAGAGCCGCGAGACTCACCAGGGACGGGAAGATGGAACGGGGCAGCTTCAGAGGGACCTTCGGGACGCAAAGCAGACGGCCCAGGAGAGCAAACACGCAAACAGCCACGAGACCCCCCCCCCCCAGCATGTGAAAAACATCCAGAGCCTAAACATGCAGTGCTGTGTAGAAGTCTTAGACAGTCAAAGGAAATGTGTAAAGCTATTTATCTGGGTCGTAAGCCTACATTTTTTCAAAAACAGTTAATCAGAACACATGGGAATTAACAGTAATATGACATTTTTGGATGGCTAGATGAACGCCGCTTCAGCTCCCAAACCTCAGCCATTCCATATATCCATTAAATTTCCCCAACAGCTCACTGAATTAGTTAACTGCCATCCTTCCATTTTCCAAACCTGTTCATCCTATGCAGGGGTGCGGGGAGTCAAAAGCCTCTGAGCACAAGGCAGGAAGTGATGGGATGCCGACCCATCACTGGGTACCCACACAATTCACAACTGCGGACAACTTGGCAGCTCCAGTTCACCTTGGAATGTGTGTGGCATGAGGAGAACATAACCTTCGTCTTTACCTTAACTAGTTAAATAACTAAACGAGGTGCGTCAGTGGTTGGATCACTAAGATACACGGGTGTGTTGGACGGGTGCTACAAACACTGGGGTGACTTTAGGAGAGATTCTGTAATGGCGAAGCAACATGAAGATCATTTAAATATCATTTTATTTGACTCCCAGTCTGTTCTCCCTAAACTTCTTACCTCTCGCAGCTGATGAAAAGTGACCGGACTGACCTGTACCCCCCCCCCCCACCAGATGTGCTTCAAACTGCCTGCAGAGCAATGGGGGCTGGAAGCTTCTCCAAGATTTATACCTACTCCCCCTGCCATCATCTTTTATGATTTTTTTTTAAATTATTGCCCCAAAATGTTGCCCGGGTGAATTTTGATACCTCTGCCCCTGCTGACATCCCTTCCTGGTGCTAAATCTTAACGGACTTGCTAATTTTTACGGGGACCATCCGATAAAACCAAGCATGAAGGCAGGGTCTACCTTAAAATTTCTGTTGTTTGTACACAGAGCAAATGGACCAGCATTATTGAGAGGAGGCATGTACAGCAGGTGTTTTAAGGTGGATCGAGGCCTGTGCTGCCATAGGCTACGTTCACACTGCCGTGCTGAAGTGACTCAAATCAGATTTTTTGCCTTAATGTGACACAGATCTGATCTTTTCAGGGCTGTGTGGACACGCAAATCTGATCTTTTCAAATCAGATTTGTGTCACTTTCATATACGTGGTACTAAATCGGATACGTATCTGATTCGCGGCCATGCCACCTGAATGTGACGCTCAGATCGGAATTCATGTGGCTTTTTGCTTATACGCATGCGCTGACATCATCAGCCTGCACCGGCTGCGCGGGAAGGTAAAGATGGAGGAGAGCTACGATAACAGTCAGTGGAAGGATGGAGAAGGTGGGGATTTAATTGATATTTGGGGAAATGAATCTGTTCAAGCTAAACTGGAAGGAACCTATCGTAATAGAGTAGTATTTGAAATAATTGCCAAAGAAATGGCACAGCGTGGACACGAACGTGGGTACAATGCCAAAGAAAAATAAAGAGCCTGAAGTCAAAGTTTAAGGAGGCGAAAGACCTGAATGGCCACACAACGTGCCAATTTTACGAGCAGCTTTTTACCCGTGTCAAAACGTATCAATGTGCGCATGCATGACGTTTCGGAGGACCGATGTGTTCACATTACAGTCAGGTGCAGGTCACTTGTACTTATGAATGTGAACCGTCAAGATAGACAAATCCGATCTGAGCAAAAAATCGGAATTGAACGATGTGGCTGGCAGTGTGAATGCAGCCATAGACACTTCATCTCAATTCAAAAAACTTTATTTGTCCCCGAGGTGACAACGACTTGTAGACGACTTGTGCTACACGTGGGATCTGTGTGGGACTGGCGAATGAAACCGTAACTCCACAGTAACTCCATAGTAACCTACCACACATTGCAAATGAACCTTGTGACCATTACTAGTGTTTTTTTCAATGGAAGACCAATTTTTGTTTTTGGGGGGCATACCCATGATCCCCTGGGGCACTGGCATCGCTATGCCCGTGCCTTTTTGTTCCCACACTCAAGTCACATCGGACTCTGCAAGGATCGGGTTAACCCTTTAAATCTAGGCTTAAGGGCTCTCCGTCTGTTTCGTTTGATGTTTACAGTGATAGCTGTGAACCAGGGGGTTGGGGGG